CCTTGGTTTCCATCTTTTTCTAACATTAACCATCTACTTTGCATATTATCTACATTTTCCACTGGTGTCCTTAACATTTTCATCATAGTTACCCTTCAATTTCCTATCTAAATGCAAAATTTGTGTCATATTTAAATCTGGTTCTGATGCTTGCCCTGGGTATTCAAACTACTCTTTCTTTCCTTTAAACATGACTTATAAATCAGGTAGTATAAACTGAGGTAAGTAGGCCTTAGTATGAGACTTTGCATTTATTTAGCCAGTAATTGGACTGCGTTTACTTTTGCAGTAGATACCAGAGGTTTCAGTTTTTTCTAGTGTCCTTGGTTCTCACACCTACTCAGTTATCTTTGGGATTCCATAAGATCTCCTTCTGAAATAGAGATTATCTTGTAGCTCTTTCAGATATAATCCACTGTTATTATACAGAAAGCCCTGTTTATGTGGTGGTGGGGAAGCACTGTATAATCTTATAAATAAATCTTATCTTTTAGGGAGCCTGAGCCCCTAGGATGTAATCTTCGGAAGGGTTTTTTTTTTTTGGGGGGTGGGGTGGGGTACCAGGGGGATTGAACTCAGGGACACTCAACCACTGAGTCAAATCCCCAGCACCCCCCTTTTTTATTTTATTTAGGGACAGGGTCTCCCTGAGTTGCTTAGTGCCTTGCCATTGCTGAGGCTGGCTTTGAACTTGTGATCCTCCTGCCTCAGCCTCCTGAGCTGCAGGGATTAAAGGTATGCCACTGTGCCTGGCTTCAGATGCATTTTTAAGTCTTCTTCTCCTTTAGCTAGACAGAAAGGCTAGAAAGGCTGGTATTGGCTAAGTGCCCTTCTCTCAAGTAGACAAGGTCTGGTAATAAAAACATGCTGAGTCTATTTCATAAAGGTCACTTTCTCTCTCTTCCCCTTTGCCACAGAGGAATTTGTCTCAGACCCCTCCCTTGAGAATACTCATGAAAGTGTGGAGGTCCCTTTAAGGCCGGGCCCCTGAAATTTCTTACACCCAAGCCACTTCAACTTTCAGCAATTCATCAAAATAATTGTTCTTAACAATTTATGGCTCCAGTGATTTTTGTTCTAAATAAGCAGATCTTGGCTGTTATGATCTGCATTTTCTTTTGTCTCCAGAATTCAGAGTAGCAATCTACCCTGTGACTTCAATTCTTTCACAGATCTAAGAAAAAAGTGATCTCTATCCACCATTATAAGGCCAAGGATAACTTCCAAATCCTTTAAATGTCAGCTGAAATCAGAAATCTTGAACTTTTATATAGACATTCAAAGTTTAATTAACAAAACAAACAAAACCTCCATTATTGATATCCTCTTTCACATCTCTACCATCCATGAATACTCATTGACTTGCATCATTTTCTAGCTGGGTGCTATGTATCTTTGTGACTTCTTGGCTAGCTCTGCAGTTATATCTGGCCACATTACTAAGTTCTAGTCATTAGAGTGTGAAGGAAAATAATGTATACATTTCAACACTTGTCCCTTAAAGTCAATCAATATGCCTTTTTGCCCGCCCAGCATCCCCACCATGTACCTGGCTCCCTGAGATGTGTAATTAAGAGCCAAAAGAAGAATAATATTACCACACTTGATGGAAAATAACAAAGTGGATCCATACCAGTCCTGAATTGCCTAACTATAGACTATTAAATGAGACAAAAAAAAAGTTATCTTAAGATATGAATTTTGGTTCTCTTCTATCCTACAAAATCTGTATATCAAAACATTAGCTTTAACTTTAAAAAGAGGGGGGCGGATGTTGATATTTTAAGTCAAACCCAAAGGATTTAAGTTAACCCTTTAATTTAAGTTAAATCATTAAGTTAAGTCCTTTAAATCACATAATATTGGTTTACAGTATACCATTTTTTAACCCTGTATGTCAATTTTGTTCTTCTCCACTGTCAATGTTTATTTCTATTTACCCACATATTTAATACTTCCTTTAGCCATTATATCTTTGGGGTTCTCAAGCTCTTCCTTTGGGACTACATTATTATCAACAGCATGCCAATACATTGCTTTGGTACTTCACATACTTTTTAAAGTTAACAACATTTGAGGAATTTGTTTGGTTTTGGTACTGGGGATTGAACCCACGAACTCACATATGCTAAGTAAGTACTTTATTACTTAACTACACCCCCAGTACTTAAAAAAAAATTGTGCCTGGCTCAAATTGCATTTTTGAAGACACTTAGCCAGGTGTCAAAATCCAAATTCTTTAAATAATTCATTTAAAGACTCTTTTCAGGGTCCCTGATATAAAAACTGTTTTCATAGTAATACTATGAATCATTTTTTTTCACTCTCAATCTCTCATGTATACACAGGAGGTCCATAGTCTATGTAAATGTGACATTACTAATACAGAAGCAGATAAGAGCTTGGTATACTGGGATACACCTGTAATCCCAGTGGCTAGGTAGACTGAGACAGGAGGATCACAAGTTCAAGACCAGCCTCAGCAACTTGGTGAGAATCAGTCTCAAAAAGGACTGGGGATATAGGTCAATGGTAAACTGCCCTTGGGTTAAATTCCCAATACTAAAAACAAAACAAAAAAACTCCAGATAGGAGAACCTGGCTATCTTCCATGAAGTAATTAAAGATATCCCTAAAATTATATAATATACATATGCCACTTTTATTATTTTTAGAAAACTTATTTTTCACAAAATATATTATTCATATGTAAAGAGTGTATTAATTTTAAAATTAAAAACATTTTTTAAAAAACCTCCTAATTTGAGAACTGACATTGCAAATGGCTGCACTGTATTAGGTTAGGTTCCCTGGTAACTGAATCTGAGATGGAAAATTAGGGTAAGGAATACAGGAGAAAGCTCTTGGGAATATGACTGATAAAAGAAATAAGGGAAACAGAACCGGGTGGAAGAAGAGGAAATTGAACTGTGACACAACTGCAATTCCTTAGAGAGCTCTAAACCTGGGATGACTCTTCAGAGTTGTCCTAAATTGAGGCAAAAGGGGCCAGGCTGTCCTCAGGGACACAGTATAACCCTGCATAAAGCAGCTCCCTTTATCCAACAATTTCTGTACTCAGCCAGCTGCTCATCATAAAAACAAGCATTATCCTTTTTCTTTCTTCTTCATCTTTCACATGAGCAAATTCTATGAAATCACCTCCAAACTCTCAACTCTACCAATTTCTACTGCTGTTATCTGTAGTCTAAGCCATTATTAATTTTTTATTTATTGTGTTCCAAGGTGATTCACAGAAACTGGTGCTTATAAATTTAGTATCTATCTATCTTCTCCATGTTTATCTAGGTAAAGAGGGATTTGCCATGATTTGAATAATAGTATCCTAAGCTGTTCTCTCACTTATATTATTATTTCTATCCCTCAAGAAGGGGGAAAATGTATTTATAGAGATGAGATGATTTGCTTGCTGACATATATCAGCAAACACTATTCTTAGACTTCAGATTTAGTTTAAGGAATTAAGCTAAGAAAGTCTTTTGAACCTTAATTAGAATTTTAAATTTTTCTGTTGACTTGAAAGTTTTTTAAAGAAAAGGAACAGAGAATTTAAAGCACACAAAGTACGGTCCACCAAAAGAAAAAAGAAAAGAAATATGAAGAAAATCATGGAAAAATGACACACACACACACACACACACACACCCCCCAATATCTTGCAACTGAAAACATTTACATGGCTTTTTTTGTAAATGCATGAAATTTGTAAACTATTTTTTTATTCAGAAACAATCTACAGATATTAGCTTTGCTTACAAAACTAAATTTAGTATAAAGCCTATTAAATAAAAGACCATTAAAGAAAATGGCAATACTCATTTAGACAAAGTTTTACAAACTATTATTGTTACTTTCATAAAAATAAGTCCCTTTACTTTATGACACACTGTATCTCTTCAAAAATAGCTAATAACAGAATTTGTAGTCATGTTTTACTTTACAAATTATGATTTACTTTTGTGAAATCAACTTCAAATGGAATTGACGTTTAAACATAAAAGCTAAAGATCCATTGTGACCAACACCCTCAATTCTTATCTCCTTTTTTAAAAAGGCATTAGTGGTTTTGTGTATATCAAATAATACAATAGAGATGGCATAATAAAAACTTATCTTAAGTAGGGCTGGTCCACATTGTTGGAGCATGAGAGCCTTTTAAAGGAACTCAATTATTACAGTTCAGAATCTAGCACTACCACAGCTTCTAACTAAAATTCAATATGGCATATATAAGTCAAGAGTTGAAGAAGGATTGGTATGTTAAAACTCAGCAATACTAAGCAATTTTACAAAATTGCTTATGGCCACCTCAAGGAAATAAAAAGTTGCATTTCACAATATCAAAATAGTTACAATGGTATTACTACCTATGCAGGTTGTATAGAAAAATGTAAAGAACAGTAAAACAGCAAAGTCAAGTTTTTAGAAAAAATCTTACTGATTTGGTTAGCTATGAACCTACAAAATCTATTATCAAATAATGACACACTAAATGGGTAGCTAATGTGTGTACTAATGTGTGTAGACCTGTTATCCCCTAAAATAGTAAATAAAAACACATTGCATCTGACTTTCAAAAAAAAATTTTTTTTGCAGTTGTAGATGAACAGCATTCCTTTGTGGTTTTTTTTTTTTTTAAAATGTGGTGGTTAAGGATTGAACCGAGTGCCTCACATGTGCTAGGCAAGCACTCTGCCACTGAACTACAGCCCCAGCCCATAAATTTTAAAGAATTAAATGTTTATTTGAATCTAGAACATTATTAATTCAAAGATGAGTCCAAACTTCAGATACATATTTAAAAAACGATAGTACTAATAAAGTATGCTAAGTTCATACTATATAGCAACCACTACTAAGTACTAATTTTCTGAAGAGATTTTTAAAATATATATTTTTTAGGTGGACCCAATATCTTTATTTTACATTTATGTGGTGCTGAGGATCAAACCAAGTGCCTTGTGCATGCTAGGTGAACACTCTACAACTAAGCCATAACCCCAGGCCCCTTTCTGAAGATATTTTTGATAAAATAGTTCATCATCTGATAGGACACATGAATACATTTCTTCTTATGGGCAAAGGTTTCCCATGGCCTCTTAATGCTTGAGAAATAACTAGAAAACACTAGTAAGACAAGTCATTCATATTACCATTATGTATCACCAAAATTTAAGATTTATTTTATATGCTACCATCTTTTGTAAAGCATAAAAATTACATGTAAAGCTAAAGGCCCCCTTCAATTAACACCCAACCCCAGTCCCAATCTCCTCCAGAGAGAACACTATCAATAATTTGGCATGTATTTTTCTAATTCATTGTAAATAGTTTACATACATACATATTTCAATAATAAAACAGTTCTGTTCTTTGTAAATGATTTCATTGCAGTGTACATGAATATTATACAATATGTTTGATCTCTATCTTCACTTTTTCCACTCAACATTGTTCCAGATAACTATCCATGTTACACATGATGGATCTAATTGATTTTAACTTCTATACACTATTCTATCAGTTGAATATATATCACATTTTCCATCCATTAACCCACTCACTGATGCACATTTAGATTGTTTAAAATTCATGTGTGTATATTTCTTATGTATCATTTGTTTCTATAGGCTGTATTCAAGAAGTGTAAATGCAAGGATCTGTCCAAAAAAAGAGCTTGCTTGCTTCAGAGTTATAGAAATCTTATATTTGACTTTTCTCATTTCAGTGTTCAAATCCTTTGGAATACTGTTTCTTTATAAGATTGTGTATAATTTTATTTCCCTCCATATGGAGAGCAAAATATTCCACAAATTGTTATTGATCAAGCCATTACTTCCCTACTAATTCATGATCTCATGTCTAATACACACCGAGTCATATATACATTCGCGGATCTGTTTTTAGGTACTCTATTCTTTAAAACTTGTTTATGAACCTACTAATGCACTAATACAACACACTTCAATTTTATATATTTAGTATATGGTGAGGCTGGTTTCCTCCGTTCTTTCTCAAAATTGTCTCATAGACTTTATCTCACATGAATTTTGAAATCACTTGGTAAAGATTCCAGAAAATTATTGTTGTTTAGAACTGCATTCAGTCTAGATTTTTAGGAGAACTGAGAATTTTATGATACTGGATTTATCCATCTATATACTGGTATTTCTCCCCATTTTACTCAAGTCTTAGGCTCTCCAACAAAGTTTTACTTTTTTTCAAAAAGGTACTGTTCATTTTCATTTTTCTGAGCTTAGATCAAGAGATTTTAAACAAACCATGGGTTCAATATGTGAGGCCTCTCTTCAATTAGTATTGGGGGCGTTTCTCACCTGTATGACCCCTCTTATGTATAGAAAGTGATGCTCTTTGAGAAAATGCTTTCCCACATTCATTACATTCAAATGGTTTCTCCCCAGTATGACTTCTCATATGTATGATAAGTAATGAGCATTGGGAGAAGGCTTTTCCACATTTACTACATTCATAGGGTTTCTCCCCTGTATGACTTCTCACATGAAGGGTAAGGGAGGATATCCGAGAGAAAGCTTTACCACATTCATTACATTTAAATGGTTTCTCTCCAGTATGGATTTTTTCATGTTCAAGGAGATTTTGTCTCTGACTGAAGGCTTTTCCACACTGGTTACAATGATAAGGTTTCTCTCCAGTATGAATTTTCTCATGTTCAGTGAGATTTGATTTCTGACTAAAGGCTTTTCCACACACTGTACAAGCATAGGGTTTTTCACCAGTATGAATTCGCTGGTGTCTAATGAGGTTTGACATCTGAATAAAAGCTTTCCCGCATTCATTGCATTCATAAGGCTTCTCTCCAGTATGAATTTTCTGGTGTGTAATAAGATTTTCTTTCCGGCTGAAGGCTTTTCCACATTCATTACATTCATAGGGTTTCTCAGCTGTATGATTTCTCATATGTACAGTAAGAGAAGAACTCTGAGAGAAGGCTTTCCCACATTCACTACATACATAGGGTTTCTCACCTGTATGACTCCTCATATGTATAATAAATACTGAGCACTGAGAGAAAGCTTTTCCACATTTATTACATTTATAGGGCTTCTCCCCTGTGTGACTTCTCATATGTAGAGTAACAGATGACATTCGAGAAAAAGCTCTACCACATTCATTACATGCATAAGGTTTCTCCCCAGTATGAATTTTTTCATGCTCAATAAGATTCTGCTTCTGGCTGAAGGATTTCCCACATTCCTTACATTCATAGGGTTTTTCTCCAGTGTGAATTCTCTCATGTTCAATGAGATTTGATTTCTGACTGAAGGCTTTCCAACAATCCTTACATGCATAAGGTTTCTCCCCAGTATGAATTCTTTGGTGTCTAATGAGGTTTGACATTTGAATGAAAGCTTTTCCACATTCATTACACTTATATGGTTTTTCCCCAGTATGAATTTTCTGATGTGTGATAAGATTTTCCTTCCTGCTGAAGGCTTTTCCACATTCCTTACATTCATAAGGTTTTTCTCCAGCATGAATTCTCTCATGTCTGATGAGGTCAAATTTCTGACTGAAGTCTTGTCCACACTGATTACACTTAAAGGGGGTTACAACATAGGATGAGCAATGATAAAAAGGTTTGCCATACTCATTACATTCACAATTTTTCTCTCTTACACAGCCTTTCTCATAACTAAGTAAATCTAAATTTTGTTCCAAACCCTTAACAAGTGAGTCACATTCATAGAAGCTTTGTCTCGAAGTAACAATATCTGAACTCAGAGGAAATATTTTTGCAACTTTTTTACATTCAATGACTTTTTCCTTAATCACAGTTTTCTTGGAGATGGATGTGACTTTCCTCACAAGTGTTTCCTGCTGCTTCTTGATCTGTTCATCAACTTCCCAAACTTCTAAAATGGAGGACCAAAAATTATTACTTGTGAATTTTTCTACCACTATACTATTAATAACATTTTATAAATTTGTTAATGTGGGGTTTAATTTTTGTTGTTGGCCTTAGTCAATCAATATGAAATAAATTTAAAGTGTAATGTCCTTAGTTCTGAGATTTGACAAGTAAACTACTATAGACAACATTTTCGAGCAAAAACTGACATATACAGACCCAAGTAGCATTGACTGATTTTAAGAATGTCCTTGTACAATGAAGAAATCAGCAAAATAAGCTGAATTAAAATGAAAAGTATAACACATAGGTGACTCAATAGGGAGTCAAACTAAAGGATAAAATGAACACTTCGGTTAAACACAGTGGACTGAATACATCCTTATTTCTTCTCCTTTCTAAGATTCTTTCCAAAAAGAATAAAGGGCCAAACTTATAAGACAAAGGAAATAGGAGTGCTGACATAGGTAAAAAAGAGATTTCAACAAAACAGTGTAAGATGAAAGGCATACATGGTACTATTAACTGGACATCACATCTAAAGATTAGCTAAAGTATTATGAAGATGTAAATGTTAAAGGCCTAAAATGATTTGGCAACAAAACATTGGAGAAGTTCAAGAATTAGAGGATTCAAGTACTTAAAATATAGGGATAAACAGGAACAAGGCAAGAACATGTTTTTTCTCACCACCACTTTTCAACATCACATGGGAAGTTCTAGCTAAGAATTAAGACAAAGACAGGAAATAAAAGGTGTGTAGGCTGAGAAGGAAGAAACAATATTAACAGTCTTTGTTCACAGATGTGTGATCATCTATGTAGAAAATCTGAAACCATCAACAAAACATTTGCTGGAATTAATAATTACAGGAAGGTTGCAAAATATAAGTCAACATACAAAAATGAATTGCCTATACGAGCAAAAACAAATGGAATCTGAAATTAAAAATCTATTACCATTTACATATGCCCCCCAAAGTAGGCATATATCTAACAACAAAATGTATAAAATATGAAGAAAACTACAAAACTCTGATGAATAAATTCAAAGAAGAAATGAATAAATGGATATTTCATGCTCATAGATAGAAGACCAGATATTTCAAGATGTTATTTCTTCCCAACTTGATCTGTAGGTTCAATATGATCCCACTCTGCAAACTATTTTGTGTATACAGACAAATACATTATGAAGTTTATGTGAAGGAAAAAGACCCAGAATAGACAATACAATACTGAAGAAGAGTGGAGGACTGACAAAGAAGCAAAGGCAATACAATGGAGCAAAGACAGTCCTTATAACAAATGGGACTGGACCAAATGGACATCTGCATACAAATCAATCTAGACATAGATCTTACACCATTCACAAAAATCAACTCAAAATGGATCATAGATCTAAAAGTAAAATACCAAAGTATAAAACTTTGAGAAGATAATACAGGAAAAAAAATCTGGGTAATCTAAGGTTATGGTGATGATAAACCCCAAAGGCAAGACCCAATGAAAGAAAAAACTAATAATGTGGACTTCACTAAAATTTAACTTCTGCTTTGCAAAAGACATTATCAAGAAAATGAAAAAATAAGTCACAGACTGGGGAAAAAAATGTATGCAAAACACACATGTGAGAAAGGACTATTAGCCAACATAATAACCAAGATTTCTTAAAACTCAACATTCAGAAAGCAAACAACCTGATTAAAAAATACGCAAAAGACCTGAGCAGACATCTTAACAATGAAGATGGCAAAAAGGCACAAGAAAACACTCAAAATCATATCAATAGGAAATTAATTTCAAATTAAAAGAGCAATAAGACAGCATTACATACCTATTAGAATGGCCAAAATCCAAAACACTGGCAACACCAAAGGCTGACAAGGATGTGGATCAACAGGTACTCTCATTCACTGTTGGTGGGAATGCAAGATGATGTGGCTACTTTGCAGGGCAGTTTGGTTGTTTCTTACAAAATGAAACATATTCTTACCATGATTCAGCAACCACATTCCTTGGTATCTACTCCAGTGAGTTGAAAACTTATGTCCATACAAAAACCTGTACAAGGATTTTTAAGTAGCTTTATTCGTAACTGCCAAAATTTGAAGCTGTTCTTTAGTAGGTGAATGGATAAACTGATAAATCTACACAATGGAATATTAGTCAATGCTAAAAAAAGATAAGCTATCAAGACACAAAAAGACATGGAAGATTCCATGCATATTCCTAAGTCAAAGAATCCAATCTGAAAAGACCATCTATCAAATGATTCCAAATGTACTGGTAAAATCACAGAGATGGAAGAATATCCTGCCAGGGGTTACAGGAGAGGGAAGAATGAATTAGAGGAACACACAGAATTTTTAGTGCAGTAAAACCATTCTCTATGATACTATAATAGGTATGTCATTACATATTAATCAAAATCCACAGAATATAAAATACCAAGAGTAAACTCTAACATAAACTATGGAGATTGGGTGGTAATGACCTGTCAATGCAAAATCATTGGTGAAAGACCTGAACAGATCTTCTTTACCAAAGAATATATAAAAATGGTAAATAAGCACATGAAAACATGCTCAACACTTGTCTTTAGGAAATTAACTGCAAATTAAAACAACAAGACACTACCACACACCTAATACAATGGCCAAAATCAAAATCACTGTCAATGGTTGTAATAAATATACCACTTTGGTGAATGATGATGACAGTAGAGGAGGTGTTAGGAGAACAGGTGGTTTATGGAAACTCTATTTTCTGTTATTTTGTGAATCTAAAACTGATCTAAAAAATAAAGTTTATTAATTTTAAAAAACAGGTTAAAGAGCTGGGCTTGGTGGCACATATGTGAAATCCCCACCACTCAGGAGGCTGAGGAAGGAGGATTGCATAGTTTGAGGCCAGCCACAGCAACTTAGGAAGGCCCTAAGCAACTTAGAGAGACCTTGTCTCAAAATAAAAAATAAAAAGGGCTGGGGATGTGTTTCAGTGAGTAAGCACCTCTGGGTTCAATCCCTGGTATCAATCAACCAACCAACCAATCACAGGTAGGATAAAAGTAGAACTGAAAAGAACTGGATTATGAATCCACTTAGGTAATATATATCCCAACCTCCTATGTCTTTCCATTTTGCAAAGGCTTAAGAAAGTTCAAATAAAGATGTAGGGTACTCATATGATCGAGACTTGCCACATATCCATATAACATCTTAATTCAGAACTAATTTATGAAAGAGAATGGGCATTTTGCTTATGCCAAGTGGCAAGGTTCCAACAGCTATAGAAGGTCTTTCCTGGTTCAACAGCAAGCACTGTCTTGATTAGAGTGGGAGAAGGAATTCCCTCAGCATCTCACTTCTGTACACCTTTGAGACTCATTCCTAGAAACTTATCTTGTAGCCTGTGTCTTCATTCCTCCTACAGATTGTGTAAGCCATTTTAATATCTTCATATAAGTTCCTTCCGTGTGTGTGTGTGTGTGTGTGTCATTAAAGCTGAACTCTTGGGTACTCTACCACTGAGCAATCACATCCCAGATCTTTATTTTTAATTTTAAGGCAGCATCTCCTAAGTTCTGAGGCTGGCCTTGAACTTTTAATCTTCCTGCCCCAGTCTCCTGAGGAGCTAGGATTATAGACATATACTACCACACCAAGTTAAATTCCTTCCTTCTACAATTAGCAGCTGTACACTTTTTTTTTTTTTGAGGGGGGTTTACCAGGGACTTAACCAAGGGGTAATTTACCACTGAGCTATATGCCCAGTCCTTTTTATTTTTAAGACAAAGCCTAACTTGCTTACATTGGCCTCAAACCTGTTATCCCTGTCTTGGCCTTCCAAGTGGCTAGGATATTCTTTTCTCTGTAATTGGATCTTGATCAATACATCACCTCCCAATTTACACAGGAAGTTGCCATTTCTCTAAAACCCAAGCAGGAAAAGAATTTTCTAGAGAAAATGAACCAAATAGGTTCTAGACTTAGAAACAACTGAAGCAGATATCTCATGTTAGCAAAAAAGTATGATATGTATGATTATATGACCTGTGTAACATCATGTACAACCAGACGAATGAAATTACACTCCATTTATGTATGTGTCAAAATGCATTCTACTGTCATGTGTAACTAATTAAAACAAATAAAAAATATATTTTTAAAAAGTATGAATTATATGAATGTTTACATGCTGAATAGTAACTCTCCAATCCCTTTTTGTTGCTTACAAGTTGGCATGTAACATGGGAAGATTAAAAAAAATAAAAGACCTGTAGATATCGGCATTTAGGACTTCATACAAGATTTTAACTGTCTGATTCAAGCATGCTGCAGAACAATCTATCATTCAAAAACAAAAAAAGCACCTTTGTTAATTAATAGTTCTTTAAATTTCCCTTTATCCCTTCATGCATCAAAGTAAGGTACACTAACAACACTAATAGATTTCATACTTAAATAAGGTTTCAAGAGCATTGTTCAAATTAAAAATACATAGAAAACCAAGCAAACTGAAAATAAAGAAAATGATAACTCTAGGAATGACTAAGTTATGTAAGGACACATAATAAATATATATTTAGGGGCTGAGGTTGTGGCTCAGTGGTAGAGCACTTGCCTAACATATGTGAGGCTGAGTTCGATCCTCAGCACCACATAAAAACAAATAAATAAAATAAAGATGTACTGTGTCCATCTACAACTAAAACTTTTTGAAAAAATAAAAATATATTTAGCTCAGAAATGACATGTCAACAGTCACAACAAAGTAAGCATGAAAAATCAAATCAACCAAAAACTGTAATATATCTATGTTCAGAGAAAAAGAAAAAGAAGCAATGACAGCATTGTTAAGAGTATAAAAACTCACCTTCCATTTATATTAATTGATAAAAATTGGAAAATTACCAAACAGAAACATATTCAAAGAAGTCTAGTTTACAGTTACCCCTAAAATACTGATTTCTCCTTTGCCTTATTTTCATTGGTTTTGGAATTATTCCTTCATTCTTTAAACACACACACAAATACCATGTTTACATATATGCACATATATGTATGTATACACACACATAAATATATATTTCCATCCCTTTTTTACATAAAAGATAATGTACCTTTTGTCATGTCATTGTACTGCACATTGCTTTTTTCCACATACATTCAGTAGTCCCTTTATGCGCTCAGTTTCACTTTTCACAGACTTCACTTTTGAGTCAACCACAATCAAAAAATGTTAAATGGAAAATTCCAGAAAAAAATAATTTATACATTTTAAATTGTGTGCCATTTTGAGTAGCATGACAAAATTCTGAGATATACCACCCAACTCCATCCTGCTCTGGATGTAATATTTTCCCAGCATATTCATGTTGTATTTGTGACCTGCCTGTCAAATGATGACCTGCCTCTCAAATGATGAGACCAACTATAGTGGTAACACAGTGTTTGTGTTCAAAATAAATCCTCTATTTATTTAATAATGGCCTCAAAGCATAGAAGTTGGCAATTTTATTACAGTATATTGTTCTATTTTATATGATAATTCAGTACTAATGAGCAAGTATAATGCTCAAGATTTATGTGATTTCCCATGAAAGAAGCAGGAGTTTTGAGAGAAATAGTATTGTCCTGCCCGGAGCAGGACATTTATAAGACTGGTCAAAGAATCCTATGGCTAAAGGTAAGCTAACCTGTGTATTAAAATAAAATATTAAAATTTTATTTATATATAAATGTTTATTAAAATGTTCAAATTAAAATTTTTTAAAATTTCTAAATATGAATTTATAATGGTTTAACTTGACAAACTTCAGCAAATTCTAGAGTGCCAATCATTATTCTAAAAGATTTTAAAGGGAAAGATTATCATTTCTCTTTCCTGTCCTGTAAAAACATTAATTCAGGTAAACAGTTGAAGAGAGCATCTTCCTTTATGGGAGAATTTCAGCTAATAAAACCAGAAGGAATCTCTAATAAAATAATAATCTGAGCAATGGTGATCCATTATTGCTGCTAAAACTTTTAAGTAAAAAGTTGATGGATATCATTAAAAGAGACCAATTCTGAATGACAGCAGATGAATCCACTGGTCAATCTCAATATTTCTAAAATGGGACAAATGTATAACAAAATAAAATACACACAGGACCATATATGAAGTATTGCTGCCAAAGAACTAATCTAATAAAGCCAAATTATAGGAAAAATAGAATGAAAGAATGTGTCAAACAGCATGAGGAGGTAAACTGCCAAATCCAGAGTAAGAGGCAGAGGTTAGAAAATTATTAGTATCTTGTTTTTGTATAACCCATGAAATAAAATTGTTTTTTGCATTTTTAAAGTGTTGTTAAAAGAAAGGCAGGCAATGAGAGAGAATGAGAAAGAATATGCAATACAGACCTTATGTGGCCCAAAAAGCCTATATAGTAATATATTCTTCTTGGCAGGGATATGTTCTAAGACCTCCACTAGATGCCAGAGACTGCAGCTAGCACTGAACCTTATGTGTACTAGGTTTCTCCTATACATGCTTATAATAAATTTTTATAAATGAGGGACAGGAGATAAACAATAATAAAAATGAAATAATTTTAATAATATACTGTTAAAATACCTTATGTTCTGGATCTTTTCACTTTCAAAAGCAATTTAAAAATTCTCTTTGGAATATCCAAATTGCCAGCATCATTACTCTGGTGCCTTGGTACCATAACTAAGTAAAAGAAAGGTTATTTGATGGGGGCTGGGGATACGGCTTAAGCGGTAGCGCGCTTGCCTGGCATACGTGCGGCCCAGGTTCGATCCTCAGCACCACATACAAACAAAGATGTTGTGTCTGCCGAAAACTAAAAAATAAATATTAAAAAATTTTCTCTCTCTCTCTTTAAAAAAAAAAAGAAAGGTTATTTGAAGACAAGCACTATGATATTGTGATCATCCATCTGATGACTAAGAAGGCTACTAAGTGACTAACAGGCAGATAGTGTACACAGCCTGGTTACACTGAACAAAGTAATAATTCACTTCCAAGGTGGTGTTGGCACAGCTTTGAACTCTATTCAGAATGGTGTACAATTTAAAACTTAGGCATTGTTTATTTCTGGACTTATCCCACTGAATATTTTTGGACGACAGCTGTCCATAGGTAATTGAAATAGCAAAAAGTGAAACTGTGGATGGGAGGTGATTGCTGTATATTTTCTGGCCCTTTAATGAGAAAAGTTGCTGACATTTAGAATAGCAATAAATTGGTTTCTACCCAAATAAGAGAGTGGGGGAAAACAGGTTTAGGGGAAGTGTGGACTAAAACAAAAGTGAGCAATAATCCACCAAATGCAATGTATGAACCTTATTTGAATCCTGATTCTAATAAGCCAGTCATAAAAAGATATTCTTGTGATGATCAAGAAAACATGAACAGAGATTAGGTCTCAGATAATAGTAAGAAATTATTATTAACATTGTTAGGTGTGATGGTAATACTTTAAAAAATCTTATCTACTGGCATGGAATGCCACTTAAGGGAGAAATGTGAAACACTTTGGCAATGAAACAAAGCTGGATGCAATGGCGTGCACACCAGTTGTTCCAGCTACTTAGTGGGGGCTGAGGCAAAAAGATTCCTTTAGCACACAAGTTAGAGATCAGCTTGAGAACATAGTAAAACCCCCAACTCAAAAACAAAACAGAGGGTGGGGGAACAGAGGTTATAGATGAAACAAGTTTGGCATTATCTTATTACTTTTGATCAGGTCACCTATCACATTATCCTCACAAGTCTTTTTTTCATTCTGCATACCACAGTAAATTAATGTAGGTAAATCTTTAAACACAATAATAAAAATCTCTCCAAATATAGTTCTATCACAATCAACTCATGAATCATTTTCAGGAATAAAGCACAGGCTTTTCTCTTGGTAATTTAAGTATTATTGGACATCAAAATGGGGAAATTTATATAAGAGAGAGTACATGTTTTCAGAATCAAAAATCCTGGTAGAGAGGAAATAGAATGTTAGTTTAGAGTTAGGCAAGATAGAAGACCATTTATCAGAAACTAAGTTCAACATTTAATAACTGCGAGAACCTGGAAAGGTAAGAGCACTCATAATTAAAAGCAAAGATGTGAAGAGGTCCACAATTTTGGAAACATAAAAGATACATATTCTAATACTGTCATTATTGGAGTTAAACAATGAGTTAATGAGAAGAATACAGATGCATCATGAAGGTACAGAGAGGAAAAATGCCAATTTGCAATTTAGAACTGTTTTGGGAGATGTGATGTGACTCAAAAAGGAGTTATGGACTCTTCATTAAAAAAAGACAGAAATAAACAATGAACAGAAACCAAGAAAAAAATATTAATCCTTTAGAGAGGATTAAAGAAGAAAGATATTTCCAAAAAGGGTGAGCCACAGAATGAAATATAGCATGGAGGATGTTTTATTTCAATATTGTGTAATTAAACATCTCCATCTCCTCTCTACTCTGCAGACATTAAGAAGCAGAAAATGTATTTTTTCTTTTTCTTTTTTTTTTTTTGAGAGAGAGAGAGAGAATATTAATATTTATTTTTTAGTTTTCGGCAGACACAACATCTTTGTTTATATGTGGTGCTGAGGATCGAACCCGGGCCGCACGCATGCCAGGCGAGCACGCTACCGCTTGAGCCACATCCCCAGCCCCAGAAAATGTATTTTCAATAAAACTAAAAGGCAGCTAAAGTTGGACATGGTACACACACCTGTAATCCCAGCAACTCAGGAAGCTGAGATAGGAGGATCACAAGTTCAAAGCCAGCCTCAGCAATGGTGAGGTGCTAGGCAACAGAGTGAGACCCTGTCTCTAAATAAAAAACAAAAATAGGGCTGAGGATATCACTCAGTGGTTGGGTGTCACTGAGTTCAACCCCTGATACCAAAAACAAGCAAATAAATAAATAAATAAATAAATAAATAGAACTGGGGGTGTAGCTAATGGTAGAGTGCCACTATGGTTCAATTTCCAGCACTCCCTTCTCCCCAAAAAGGGGCAGATAAATTCCAGTTCCAGAATACAAGAACAGAGAACAGACTAGTTGAGGTAGAGAAGAAACCCAGAGATAGTGGCTGTTGTTTCTTATCTCAGGACTGTAAGTGCAGGGGTCAGAGTTCTCAAAAACAGAGGTACAGCCTTTGTAACAATAGGATCCAGTTATACTGACTGCAATATAATGAATCCAACTGGCCCTGATAAATGGTAGGGAAGGCAGAATTTGAATAAGGAGATGCAAGTAAACATTATACCTGCATAGGAGGATAGAAGAGACACTGAGTTCTAAAGGAAGCATGAAAAAAATAATCTCTCTTTGATCTGTGGGAAAGGGTAAACCAACACTCATCACAAAACACTGTATGATAAGGACAGCAGTGTGAGATAAAGAGGCTTCCTACCAGCTCAGAGCAATTTCTCCAATAATTTTCCATACTATCCTTCTATAAATAGTAGATGCAGGAGGAAGTACCCTCATTTAATGATGAACAAAAGGACTCAGCATGAAGTTTAAACAATGATGCTGTAAGAAACAAAAAACATAATCCATAAGTTGAAAGGAAAAATTAATCCTGACTGATCAATACGAAGACACAGACTCATAAAATTCTAAAATTTCAAGGAAAACAAAACAAACCTATGAATATGCAAGGGGGAAAAAGTGGTATTTTACAGGAAATTATCACACTGCTTCTCCAAGCAACATTAAAAGGTAGGAAGCAAGAAAATTCTCTAACATTGTCAGGGAACCATGTATTGGAGAAAAAAGCATGGTGCAAGATATAGCATAGGGCGTGGAGACACACACTTGTAATCCCAGCAACTCCAGAGGCTGAGGCAGGACTGCAAGATTTAGGCCAACCTCAACAACTTAGTGAAGCCCTAAGTAACTTAGCCACACCACTTCTCAAAATTAAAAAAAAAAAAGAGGAAAGGCTAGGGACATAAGTCGATGGTAAAACACCCCTGGATTCAATCTCCAATACCACAATAAATAAATAAATAAATAAATAATGGCCAATTATCAATCAAAAATTAAAAAGGTATTTTCTTATGTTAAAAAATCTCAGGAACTCTATTTCTTTATTTGTTTTTGCAGCGCTGGGAATTGAACCTAAGACCTTATGCATGCCAGGCAAGCACTCTACCACTAAGTCACATACCTGGCCCTCAGAAACTCCAGGTCCATGAGGGAAGGACTTTGTTTTATATACTGTTCCTTGTCCATGCCCAGAATAGTTATTTCATCCTTAATGTCACTACTATAAATATGGTTTCCTTTCTTTTGTATCTTCTTGGCTAAAGCATACATAAAAGCTACCAATTTTTGTTAATTTGATATCTTACCACATAACTGGATTCTCTATTTGTTGCACTTTCTCAGTTGTTTCTCTTTCTTTTTCCTAATATATACAATCCTATCATCTGTAAATAAAGATGGTTTTATAACTTTCTTTTCAATTCTTAAATAGAGCTTCTTGTTCTCTTGTCTAACACACAGGTAAGCTTAAAGAGAAATGTACCATGCCATAAAGTAAAAACTTTCAAAGCTCCCCTTCTGAATGACACAAAAGTAGATATACACAAACACACAACAGTTTTGTAGAGAAAACTTCATTATAAAGATGGCAAAAAGTCAACGTGCTGAAAGTTAATTCATATATCTAGCATAAGCTCATTAAAATTCTACAGGTTTATATCAGGAAAAACAAATTAAGTCTAAAACTATTCATATGGTACAATAATCCATCAAGAATAGCCTGGAAAGCTGGGAACAGTGGCATATGCCTATAATCCTAGTGGCTGGGGATGGTGAGGCAGGAGGATTCCATGTTCAAAGCCAGCCTCAGCAACTCAACAAGGCTCTGAGCAACTTAGTGAGAAAAACAAAAACAGCTGGGGATGTGGCTCAGTGGTTAAGTGCCCCTGGGTTTAATCCCTCATACCAAAAACAAAAACAAAAAACAGACTAGCCAGGACAATACTCAAAAATGAACTGTATACAACTGATGAAAGGAAGGGACTAAGTGCTAAGGATAAGGGAAATTTACTTTTCAATATATCTTTTGGATTATTTTTATTTTTTAACCAAGCATATACTATACTATCAAAAATTAAATTAAATTTCTATTCCTGTAAAGCAGGAATAGAAAACTTCATTATAAAGATGGTAAAAAGTTAATGTGCTGAAAGTTAATCCTGTGGGATTTCTAAACTACAAATATATTTCTAAACCATGGGATTATAAGGATTATGAATTTTAGTGGGAAATATAACAACTGTTACAAAACACACCTTTTAAGCTCTTCAAAATGGAAAGAAGAAACTAAAGAAATCTAATTGTGGGATAAACATGTTTTAAAAATACTATACATCCACAAAATACTGAATGCATAAGAAAACAAAATGACGAACATAAAGGAGAGAGAGTCCAAGTACCACAGACGACAACAATCCTGAAAGGAAGTTGAAAATGAATTAGGGAAGTCTAGTATCCTGAAATCAGACGGGACTACTAAACATGGTCCTCTAAAATTTGAAAAAGGGAAGACAGTGCCCAATATGGGAAGAATAATACCCAGAAGTGTCACAATAATGCAAGGCGCTCATACTATTTGTCACTCTAGACAACAGGGACCTTTAGAAAAATCTTGGAAAATGTATAACAGTAGCAACCGTTCGCTGAACAACTGTCATGTGGCTTTCTCACTTAGGTCTACTTTTAACTTATTCACCTGGAGAATGCCTCCAAAACATTTCTTCTTCTATCACCCATGGCTCCTCTTCTTGTTCCAACTTGAAAATCACATCTGGTTTGGTGACTTGAAAACCTACCATGTGAAACAGCAAAGAGAGTGGATGTTACTGCTGGAGACAACCATATAATGTCTTGGGCTGAGTCTTGAGGGCTTAAAAAGGATGAGAGCTTTCAGAATGACATAAAGTATTTTTTAAAAATATCTTTATTTTATTTATTTATTTTTACATGGTGCTGAGGATCGAACCCAAGGCTTCACACGTGCTAGGTGAGCGCTCTACAGCTGAGCCACAACCCCAGCCTCAATATAAAGTATTTGTAATCAGTCTTTACCCTGACCATCTTGGCACAAAAATATCATGTAAAGAAAGGGAGGGCTAGGCTCATCTGGCAAACTCATGTCTCCACAAGTTTTAGAAAGGGAAAGGAATTCTGTGTTAACTATAAAACTATCCTTACCCACTATGACAAGGTTGCTATAGTTCTCTAGCATCACATCCCGGTACAAGTTCCTCTCAGCAGGTTTCATTTGCTGCCATTCCTCCTGGGTGAGGTCCACAGCCACATCTTTAAATGTCACTGGTTCCTATAAAAATACAATCCTAATTAATTAGAAGCAACAGAAACTAAGGGATGTTGTCAAGATAAGTAGAAATCGTTTAGTATCCTGGGGTCAGAGATCATTAAAACCTGTTAATTAGGACTTTATATTTACCTGTATTATATGATGAGGAGACTGCACTACATTAGAAATATCCTGTATGTCAATTACTGAGTCAGCAAACATTAATTCATCAAAAGCTAGATGATGAAACTACGGAGTCAGAAAGACGATGACTTTTACTGGGCTGTGACAGAGATAAAAAAGTTGGACCTAACTCACAGGTATCTGGCTCAAAATCTGCCCAGATAGTTGTGTGATCTAGTAGCAAAGGAAAAATAAGAGAACAGGCAGGATGGAGGACGAGAGGCATGAAAATTTGAATATGCAGTTTGAAATACCTATAAAACTTCCAGTTGGAGAAGTCCTATGCAGCCAAACATACGAAGAAAGAGGTAAGAGTATATTAGCCACCAACTCAAAACTGGGAGCCAAATCCATGGCTGACAGATGTGAGTGGTAATAAAGAACAAGTACTGCAATAGGGCCAAGGACAGGCCCAACAGCTAACAGCAAAGAGACTGACTTAGGTTTTTATTTTATTTACAATTAAAGTACAGAACTGAAACTATGATAATGTATAACATAAGCCAAGAAACAAATGAAAAACTTCTGGAAAAATATGTGATTTGATCACAAAACTCTAGTCCTTCCTTCCCATTTAATATTCAGAAAAGAAAAAAGTCTTTTATCTGCAAAGGCTCTGAGAAAGAAAAACAGCCACATATTCCATACTTAAAGTAATTTATTCAAGAAATAGTATAAATGGGATGAGACAAAATAGGAAGTACAAATTGAAATCATCAAAGGCTGAATTGCAATGAATGCTTCTGAGAAACTCTCTATGATGTTGTGGAAGAGTTGGGATTCTAGTCCAAGCAGGGTAGCTGCAAGAGCCATAGGTTCTTACCCATCTTACTATAATTCTTCTCCAAATCAATAGGAAGAGTCGCAGAACCCCAAGATTCAAGATGGACAAATGGACACACAAGAACTCCTACACCTGAAGTCCCCTTTACTGCTGAGGTTTCATTGAAGCATAGGAAATCACCAATAACAGGAGGAAAAATATACCACAAAAAGATCAAAAGCTAATAACAGTGGCTAACAATCTTGATTTCATAGGATTAGGGTCAGATGAAGCAGTAAGAAGGAAGAATGCAAAAACAAGCAAACAAACAAACAACAACAACAACAAAATGACAAAATCAACTAGATGTAGAAAAATAGCCTTTGGCACAAAGGTTTCACTAATTACTCTATGAACAAAAGCAAACATGGGCCAGGTAATCCCAGCAGCTCAGGAGGTTGAGGCAGGAGGATTGCAAATTCAAAGCTGCCTCAGTAACTTAGTGAGGCCCTAAAAACTTATCCACACCCTGTCTCAAAACAAACAAACAAACAAAACACATAAAAAAGGGCTAGGGATGTGGCTCAGTGGCTAAGTACTCTAGATTCAATCTCTAGCACCAAAAAACAAAGACAACAACAACAAAGAATACTTTTGCTGTTACTGCCCAATACTGGACTAACCAAACTAGTAAAAACAAAACAAATAAACAAACAAACAAAAAATAAAACCTAGTTTTTAAGATTTTAGTTAGAGCCTGGCATAGGAGTGCACACCTATAATCTCAGCAATTTGGGAGGCTAAGGCAGAAGGATCACAAGTATGAGACCAGACTGGCTAACACAGTGAAATCCAGTCTCAAAAGTAAAAGAAAAAAAAAATTAAGATTTTAGGTAAAGAGT